CAGCTTCACACTTACCTCTTCTTTGCATTTAGGCACACGCACACACATATATATTATACAGTAAAGAACATTTCTTTTGTAACCGGAATAAGATCACCTTTATCTCCTGTGTATTTGCAAGAGATTTTGCAAGTGCAAAGAGCTGAGGTGCATGGGTTTCAATTCTGTATGCAAAATAATTTGGCAATGGTGAATTCTTTGAATACAGAGGAAAACCAGAATGTGCAAATGGAGACAGGTATGCACTCACAGATTTTGCACTGGTGTTTTGATTTGTTTGGGACAGTAGCCCAACAATTTCAGAGAGCACTGAAGCAGTGAGGATGGAAGATTATGTAGCCAGTCCTAGGAAACATCTTAGGTGGGCTTCTAAGTAGTATCTCATCTGATCACCTGTGGCCAGTTAAGGACATCCAAGCAACCATATATAAGACCCTTGTATAAGCTGGTGCCTTTTGTTTTTCTTTCAGGCTGCAAGTGGATAACACAACACAGGAAATCAGACAGGCTAGTAACTTGGAGGCATTATTTGTAAAATAAATCATCTCTGATGCTTCCCCCTCCCCTGCTCCTATCCCCATGCATGAGACGCTGGGATGTGGCCACAGAGATGTCAGCCTCATCCAAACGTCTATCATTGCCTTCCTGTGAAAAATAAAAGAGATGTCCCACCCAGGTGAGCATAACAAGTAGGCTGTGATGTGTGGAGCAAATTACATACCTGGCTCACGCAGTCGGGGCGTTACGAGAATACAGGGTGGACCCTACAAGACGTATGAAATGGGGCATTAATTGGAATCAAATATTGGTGCAGCCCATCTCTGGGGAGAACACGAGGGGAGCCCAGCTCCCTACCATGTGCTGTGCAAATATCCTTCACTCGTGTGCTATGAATCGTCTGTTCCCATGTCCCAGACCACCTGCCCCATGCTCCTGCCTTAGTTTTGTGTGTACTTCTACTGTTAGAGCAAATCAATCCTTCTCCAAGGGCACTTCATACCATCCCTATTTAATTTTCCAACGATGCTGATGTTCCAGTTCCCATTTTCTCAGCAATATTCCTCTCCTCATTATGCTTTGGAATGTAGTGCCACCCTCATGTTCCCCTAAACACCTCAAATCCACAGCTATGGGGGCCCCCATCGTGTTCCCTTCCGTGGACAGGCGCAATATTTGCCCTGAAAATGAAAACAGATAATAATGAAATAAAGCCACAAGCACATGGGACACTTAGGTGAGCAGGTGGGCAGAGGTCTTGTGAGGGTATGTATGTGCTTTTAGGTATGAACGTTGGGGAGATGAACAGAAATGAAGAGCAATCCCCCTCTCCAGAACAGCTAGAATCTAGAACAACTAGGGGAACTGTTTGAGGAAGCGCTTGATTTAAGCTTTTTGTTCTCATTTCTTACTTAAAAGGAGTCTGCAGTCCCACGCTTCCCTACTGTGTAATGTCTCATTCAACTCCAGGACTAATGCACAGGTTCACATGGCTGGCTTGAGAAAAGACACCTACATTTTCTCCCTTTCATCCCTTTCTTGCTATTGCTTCTCCCTTTCCTTTGAAGTTCCCACACTGTCAAAATCTCAGTTGTAAGCACATTGTGTTTGTATTAAGTCTCACAACTCTACAATGACTAAGAGAGAGAAGAAAGTCTCTAGACCAGAGTTTATCAAACTGTGCTCCTCCAGATATTTTGAACTTCAGTTCCCAGAAATGCCAGCCATCTTATCAGCTGTTAGGAATTGTGGGAGCTGAAGTCCATAACATCTGGAGGAAAAAGGCTTGAGAAACACTGCTCTAGACTACCATTTCCAGGCTGCACTTCTATCATAGCTTTGGAATGACTTTGGAATATTGTACTCACTGTTGGTGGGATCAAGATTATGGTTTAGAGTTGCCAGATCTCAGCCCAGTCCTGAGTCTCCAGTTTTTGTGGGTCACCTCAGGATAGATGAGGCTGTAAATTCTCCAGTTTTAAGGCTCTTCTCCAGGCATGAGGAAAGTGCTACCTGGGAATCTCCATCTCATTTAATACCAGCTTGTTACTAATTAATTTATTGATGCAACTCTTCAGACTCTTCTATGTATTTACAGATAGTCCCCAAGTAACGAACAAGATAGGTCAAGTAAGTTTGTTCTTAAATTGAATTTGTATGCAATTTCAGAACAAGTACACTTTTTAAGTGTAACTTCAGCCAAATGCTAGCATTGGATCACATAGGGAAGGGCTAACACCCCTGTGGCATTTGTTTTGCTGTCTGTGCTGTTATTCAGAAGATTTCACCTTACTTTCTGTTCCTTTGATAATAGGATTTTGAAAAAATGGCTTGATGTGGAAACAGGGACCCCTTTTCCCCATGATAACTCTTTTTAGGAGTGAATTTCCCTTCCTAGGGGTACCATAGATTTCTCTCACTTCCTGTTGTCTCACCCCCGTTCTTAACTGTGAGTCATTTGTAAGTCAGATGTTTGTAACTCGGGGATTGCCTGTACTTAGTTAACTTCTTCCTTCCTTCCCAGTTCTTGTGACCTACTAGAGGGCCTGTCCAGACAGGACCTTTATCCCAGAAGCTCCCAGTTCAAACTAGAGGGTGGCCAAATGACATTCCCTGAAAACATGTTCAAAATTCAAGCTATGAGCAACCGTGATGGATACTTAATGGCATCATCATGGACTATCCATAAGTCTCTGGTAGCAAGTGGCAATCAGTCAGAAGGTGAGCCTAGTCCAGCTTCAGTCCAATCATTATATAAAGACCTCATCACACTAGCGAATAAATCCACTTTAAATCCAGTTGCTGCCTCCTGCAGAATTCTGGGGTTTGTAGTTTAGGGTGAAGCCTTTAACAGCCTCACTAAACTACAAACCCCAGAATTCTGTAGGAGGAGGCAGAGACTGGATTTAAAGTGGATTCATTCTCTAGTGTGATGAAGTAGTAAGATGATCTAGCTGCTCAAGGAGATAAGAGTTCTTCATCATGAATAGCACCACTAAAGAGTGGATGAAATCCTGGAGCAGATACACTATTCCACTCACATGGAACCTGCCATGAATTGGCAGTGCATTCACAATATATTATTTTATTGTTATAGTCTAGGAGGGTTGGTTGATATTTCATTCATGGAAGAATAACACTCAAGATGTGTGTCCCCCAGTAGGCAGGGAATTGTTCTATGTTTTTGAAAAAAAGATCAATTGGAGCCTAGATAAAGTAATATTGTTCCCGAGAAAGTGAGAAAGCAGTGTGTGTGTGCGTGCGTGTGTACACCAACCCCAGCTGAAGTAGGAGAAATGGGTCAAGAGGACTGATCAATTTGCTGGTTGCAACCATCTCTCCCTTATGTTGTCAAGGGCTTTCATGGCCGAAATCACTGGGTTGCTGTGAGTTTTCTGGGCTTGTGGAACATGGCCATACATCCCAAAAAACTCACAGCAACCATCTCCCCCTTGGTTTCACTAATGTTCTGCTTATATATTTGTCAAAAAGAAAAGCTGCCCTACAGTTTACAAGTCTCCTGTGCTCTCCCATCAAAATGATATTAAACCCATTAGCACTGTGTTTTCGTAGCTCAGGGAAATAGGCAAGAGACAACACTGACCTATGGAGGGTGGTTGTGGGATATGTTTTGACCTTAAAAGGCAGCACTTGTTCTTATGAAGCAGCAGGCAAAATTTCATAGAAGGTAAAACAAACTGAAACCCACAAAAATCAATGGAGACAGATTGGACTCAATGGCTACTTTAAACCATACTGAATTCAATGTCTAGCATGATGAAATCTGAATCAAAGGTTATAAGGAATCTGCACTGCACCAAAGACAGAAAAATTATGTGTTAAGATAACCCAAATTCAGTATCAAATGAAGTGAGAAAGCAATATTTTGCTGGCTGTATGCAGAACTATTTGTTTGGGGATCAAATGTGTTTTTCAACTCTTGGGAGGCCTTCTGCATCATGAAAATCTTGAGGTTTCAGCTAATTGTGGAACAGATCAGGTTTGATCCCATGCATTTTATTACGCCAAAATATTTGCCTAGGTCTGATAGTTTACCTGGGAAGGCTTTGTTACTCTGTGCACATTCTACTTATGCACTCCCTGTAATCAACAATTTAGGGTCTTAGATTATGTGAGACCTCTGAATACAAAACAGTGCACAAACAAGTATTATGTTGGCACACTAGACAGATTTTGATAACTCTATGGGTTCCCTTAAACATAAAATAAGCTATGGAGATAACATCATAGTCCTGGACATAAAAGTATCTGTTTTAAAATAATTAAAGCCACAGAACTGTTTTTAAAGAAAAGCAATAAAAGCTATCTATTTCAATTGCTTTAGAAAATTGAGAACGTTAGGGGGCTTTTAAAAGGTGCAACTATTGCTATCACCAACTACTTTAGGCGTTTGGAGCTCTTAACAGTAAGCAATCATATTTTAAAGTGAAGTCTGCCCTTTGTATCAATGGATTTGACCATCTATTCTTGAAAATATTTTTTTTAATCTCAAAAAGCTAATCTTGAACTTGCTATTTTATATAAAGGTTGCCATTTAACTTTGCCATTGTATATATCATGGGACTTGACAATCCATGGGTTTTGTTATCCATGGGTGGTCAGGTGCCCTGGATACCAAGAGCAAACTATATTGTAACTTCCTAAACTCTAGTACTGCATCATTTTATTTTCCAACATATGTAAGGACAACAGCTGCAGAAAAACAAAGCATTCTTTTTCTTTTTCTCTTTCTCGTATCTGCCAGAATTGCTTTGTTCCTTAACCAAAGACACAGGGTACATATTGATCACAACCTACTCTCGGGCAGTCACTATACTACAGGAACGCTACCAGAAATCAAATTTGCAAATCCAGTTGCTGAAGGCGGGAGCTGCAACAGTGGTGATGAGATTTGCACAGAGGTCAAGCAACAAATAAGACTGGACTGCCAGAATGGATCATGAGATTGGGAGGTGGAGGGAGTGACATGGGAGCCTACTCACCATTTCCCTGCATTCCAGGCATCCTACTCATGCTTCCAGGGGGCCGCGTTGGCATTGTAGTCATGCAGGTACCACGATGTGGCAGAGGAGTCTGATGCTGGCTGCGGCAGGCGACGGGCGCCTATAGGGCCCCGGTTGTGGTGGGCAGTGAGGTAAAGAGAGGGATGGGGCAGGAGCAATGGATGGAGATGAAAAGGGGGTAGGGGCAGGAGAAACAGACAGAGGTGATGTGAGGAGGAGGCACTGAAGATGGGCATGCGATGACGCAGAGGAAGGCGCAGCCATGAAACCTCCCAACCACCCGCCACAACAGCCCTCCTCCGCACATGAGATCAGGACTCACATACCCTCCAAAATTTCAAAGAAAACGGGATGTGTGTGGCCAAGCAACATCAGAGTGTGGGCACGATGGCAAAACATTATCAGGCTGCAGTTTGCCTGTGTTCACTAGAAAGGGGGAAAATCTGTCCCTTCTCTTCTCCCTCCTGTTGAAGCTACTGGGCACAAGCTACTTTTACTCTTTGAGTTTAATTTACAGCACCTGAAGTAAGCTGAGAACAAAGAGGGAAAAGTAGAAGAAGGAGAGAGAAATATTTTAAAGGCAGGTGATAGATTTGGACGTCTGGGGATTAACTGGAAATGCCACTGACAAATCATGTCAGTTGAAGGGTATGGGCTCATAGTGACCCGACTCACTTCTTCTGCCATATTTGCCCTCCCTCCCATGGTTCTCAAGAGCCTTGCTTTTTAGCTTCTTTATTCAGAACTCACTATCTGTCCTTGTGAAAAAGTAGGCATGCATGATAAAATGATTAGGACTGGAGAAAGGATGGGTTCAAATGTGCACTTAACCATGAAGCTCAGAGGATGACACTGTCTAACATAATCTACTTCATAGGATTGCAATGCAGATAAAGCAGATGAGGTACAATTGTCTAGGCTGCGTTCTGGGGGAATGTAAAATAAAAAAGGCCTTCACCTACCATAACATCTTAACTTAACGAATGTTGAGGTTCTAGGGCCAGCTGTCTACAAACCACCCAGAATCATTTCAAGTCTCACCATACCCTTTCACCCAGACCAAAAGGAGTAGAAAGTTTACTTCTGGTTTTTTTTTTTTTGTTGAAATTATTTCTCTACCAACCCCTGAAAAATAAAACAAGGCAAACTGGGATCTGTGTGGCTTAGTTTAAAGGAAAATGGTGTATATAGATGCATGATTCTCCGTGTTTAGTGGTGCAAAAAAGAAGAACCAAGGGATCATTTGGCCAATAGGCTGCTTGATCTCATCCCATGTCAGAACTCCAAGATTTCTCCTAAGGTAGTTTTAGATCTATCATAATTTTTATTTTATTTTAGTGAACTCCATCAAAACTAGGCTTCATATGGGAACCTGACTTAAAATCATTCCATGGTTTAAAAAATTGGCCAAAATCCTACATCAAAATATATATTTCATAACTTTATAAATCCTCAGCTATTTTATAGAAATGAAATACAATCCTGCTGGTGAATTGTGAAAATGCATATCTGGACACCAGAAATATGCATATTGGGCACTTCTGATGTGTATCAGGTGCTCCTATATTGCTCTGGTACATCCTAGTTTGTGTGCGGATACACTTTGGGAGAAGACTCAATGCACATCAATGGTCACTAAATATTGCTGGCTATCATAGGATAATGGATACTTTACACTTCAATATTATGACACAACCTAGTGAATAGAGATATGAAATTACTGATTTCATGGAAGCCCATTGACAACGGCATAGAATGCCAGCCTCTATAGTTTTACCAGAATTGAGTATGCTTCTCTAATGTTGTTTAATCAGGCTATTATACTGGGGTTGTTTTGTCTTCTAATGGGCTGTTTGATTTATAAGTTGTTGTAGTAGGGCAGTGGTTCTCAACCTGGGGTCCCCAGATGTTTTTGGCCTACAACTCCCAGAAATCCCAGCCAGTTTACCAGCTGTTAGGATTTCTGGCAGTTGAAGGCCAAAAACATCTGGGGACCCCAGGTTGAGAACTACTGTAGTAGGGAATATCACATGATTTCTTCCAAGGTTTATTCCGATTTGAGCCAGTGGACGTTGGGCAATAGATTGAAGAATGTGGAAACCAGAACTCAGAGTCCAGCTGAACAAGCTGTTTTCTGCGGCCCTGGAGACTAGGACTCAAAGCAATGGGTACAAATTAACCGAAAGGAGATTCCACCTGAACATTAGGAAGAACTCCTTGACTCTGAGGTCCATGCTACACAGCTGTATAAAATCCACATCAAACTAGAATATGTGGCAATGTGGAATCAAAAACCCCAGTTCAAAGCAAATATTGTGGATTATCTGACTTGATACTCTGGGTTACATAGCTGTGTGGAAGGACCCTGAGAGCTGTTCAACAGTGGAACCCTCTTCCTCAGAGTGTGCTGGTAGCTCCTTCTTTAAAGGCTTTTGAACACAGGCTGGATGGCCATCTATCGGGGGTGCTTTGATTGTGCTTTTCCTGCATGGCAGGGGGTTGGACTAGAAGGCCCATGTGGTCTCTTCCAACTCTATGATTCTATGAGGGACAGTTACTCTTTTTGAACACCATCACTTTTGTTATTGGGTTATTTTACAGGACTCTTTTGGGTTAGTTCAATATTGATAAAAATGTGGATGGGGGTGACCAATTTGGAGGACAGGGAGGAATATTGGGAAAAAATTACAACCATCTCCCAGAGTTTGAAAAGAATACTTTTTAAAGTCTTTAGCTTACAAAACTGTCTAACTAGCATGGCCATTTAGGGGATTTTGGGAGTTACATTCCAAAGAAGTAGTTGCCAAATGTTTATGCAAACCTTCCACTGAGCTCTTGGACCGGCTCTGTTACTGAGCCACTGCTCTTTCTCCCTGGTCAGAAATAAATGTATTACCTCCTGTTTGTGGTGAGAATTCTACCACGGACCTACACGGGAGGTCTGCACCACTAGCAGAGAATGGGTCAATTTGAAAACAAAGAAAAACCTCCTTCATTTCAATCAGCCTCATGTTGCCCAGCATCTCATTCGGTGGTGCAGATGGCATATTGCAGTCTTTCTGTGCTGGCCAGAGTACCAATGTCCTACATTTCCCACCAGCTGGGAACACAGCTTCCCTCATCCCAGTGTGGGAACATCCATTATATTCTAACCTGCAGGGAATATGATAGAAGACGCAGACACAGAGCAGGACAGACTGCTCTATGTCCCCTTTGCAAGATAAATAAATACTTTTTTTTGGGGGGGGGGGGAGGGTGTTAAATTCCCCATATTGTATGACAGTCAGGCACCAGACACAATAGTTTTGTTAACATAATGGTTACTTCAGCAGCCTTTGGCTTAGTCTCTTTCCTTTCTAGACAGTTTTAATTTCCCCCCACACAAATCTTAGGTAATAGGAAATTTCCATTTGCATACATCTGGATTAACAATCATATGCAAATCAGCAGTGGCCTATTTCACATTTTAATTTGCATAATTTGGATTAAGATACATGCCGTTCTTAATTTTTCAGAGGTGTTAGGGCACAATCCAGTCCAGGAGCATTTGCTCTCCTTTAAATGTATAAAAACAAGTACGGCAGTGGCTATTCAGTGGCACAGAGAAAACACTTTGCACCCATATTTGTAATCTTGTTGCATATTTCAGCAGAGAACCCTAGTTTTGCAATTAAATTTCTATGCATGTTAAGCCTTGACTCATGTCTTTTAAAAAAGCAGTGACCTTAAACCCAAAATATTTGAAAAATCAATATGCACCAGGATTAGTAAATATGAATACAAAAATAGACAATACTCTTTTGATGACTCTTACATGCCTGTGATAATAAGTATATGCAAGGATGTGCAATGCTACGACTTAACATGCATATCCAGATGAGAAGTAGGTTGATTTTTCCCATCCTCAAACATTTGTATTTAGTTTAAAATCCCTAAATCTCTAGCAGATACCACACAAAAGATGCTGTTGACCTTGGAGATCATCTGATTTTTAACAATAGTGAGGTTAACCAGTTTTTTAAGAGCCTTCCCCCTCCTATCTATGAAAATGGGATATGTTACTTCTAAAAGCAGTCTAAAAACCATCCTAGAATCCAGTTTTTAAAAGCACAATTTTCAAATACTGTAAGCAATGCATTGTTTTTGCTGCCTGATGGAAGATTAAAAGAGATGGGCCCAGTCTAACTTCCTCAGGCAGGGAGTTCCACAGTCAAAGCATTGCGTCAGAGAAAGTATATCCACTAGGCCTGGGTGGTTTCGTTCGTTAATTTTGTAATTCGTTAAATATTCGTTATTTTTAACAATTACAAAATGATTACAAAACATATTTTCAAACCCGGAAGTGTTTTTAAATATCGAAACGGCATCCTCCATCTTTTTTACGGGCTTCCGCCCGTTTCGGAAATGACGTTTTAGGGATGGAGGATGCTGGGTGCGCCGGGAGCCAATCCGGCGCTCCCAAGCACCGTGGCTCATTGTGATTGGGCGGGCTGCCCTTTAAAAGCGGCTCCGCGTGGCCGCATTGCTCATTGCGAAGGCGAGGGAGGAGACGGGAGGTTCGGGAGGGAGGCTTGGCTTTTCAAACCCGGAAGTGTTTTTCAATATTGAAACGGCATCCTCCATCTTTTTTACGAGCTTCCGCCCGTTTCGGAAATGACGTTTTAGGGATGGAGGATGCTGGGTGCCCTGGGAGCCAATCCGGCGCTCCCAAGCACCGTGGCTCATTGTGATTGGGCGGGCTGCCCTTTAAAAGCGGCTCCGCGTGGCCGCATTGCTCATTGCGAAGGCGAGGGAGGAGATGGGAGGTTCGGGAGGGAGGCTTGGCTTGCATTCATTCATTGCTTGCATTCATTCATTGCTTGCATTCATTCATTCTCATTGATTCATTGTTGTTGGGAGAGCGAGGGCGGTTGTGAGACCTGGGCTGGGAGCAGCGGGGAGGCTTTGCCCTGTTTTCACCCTACAACAGGGCAGGGCAAGCTTTTTGTTAATTTTCCATTTTTAAATATTATTTCTGATAAATATTTTTCTTTTATTCTTCAAAAAATTCTAAAAATATTCTAAAAAAAGAAAAGAATCTTTTGCGCATGTGTGTGCGTT